AAGGCCGAGTATGAGCGAACGCCAAGAACGAATTGTTGAATCAGAAGAGTTTATCTCCATGCCAACTAGTCTTCGGCAGGAATCCCAGACTCCCAGGAGATGTCCTTCAGGAGTGGCCGTGTCTGGTGGCAGGGACGACAGCTTTGCATGACTGCCGCTCGAGCACAGGCAATTCGAACGCAGGCCAGAACAGCCCTGATCATGGCGCAGGATGACCAAACCCTGCGCACATCGCTCAATGCCCGGCCACGGGTAGAACGTGACTTTCTCCCAGAAGTACGAGAAGTACGAGAGAGGTGTTCGTTTAGTGGGCGGTCGGTGGTTTGGTGTTGCGGTCATCATGGGGAAGATAGGACGGAACTTCTTGATTTTCCACAGGAAGAACATCTTCAAAGTAGCACCTGAGCATTTGAGACATGCAACATTGGGAGAGCGTGTTTCGGCGCAGACAAATGGTAGGGAACTGTTGGGGTTGACAAAAATGCTCCAAGACCATGACTCAAGCCAGTTCGGATCTGAGTTCATTGACTTGACAGGGACACCCACACCCATGGAAAGTTTGTCCCAGGAAAAACCACAAGAGGACTTTTGGGTTAGAAAAGGGAACATTTTGACTCGAGTTCACAAAGTGCCCAGACAGAACCTGTTCATGCCGAGTTCAAATGACCCAGAATTAAGCGGTGTGCAATTGGAGAACTGGAGAAGCACTGTTCGTAGTGACACCAAAGAGTGCATTGTCCATTAGTTTCTGTCCGACCATCAAAGTCAAACAAGTCAATGGGGCGAGAGCCCGTGGCGGGGTGAGACACACTTCCATGTGAAAGTGGGTGGACGAGCAGCCATCCAGGCAGAAGCCAGTAGTCCGGCAGTTCCGATGCAGTCTGAACCGTCCAGTCTGGACACAGAAATCATCTCTCAGCCAGTGCGAAGGACAGATCAATCTAACAAAAAAGATAAGACTGAAGCATCCTCAGCCCGGTCAAGTCCCTTTCAGGTCAGACAAGAAGTAGGGGAGTCAGCATCCACATATGGTCCTGTCCGCCTTCGTCAACATGAGAAAGGCCTCCTCTTTTCTTAATTAGACCTCCCGAGGTAAAGACCGATGATCTGAGAGATGTTCTAGTTGAAGCACATGGCGAAAAAAGAAGTCTGTCCCCGACCGGACAAGCCGATGCGCCAGAGACACCTCCAAAGATGTCTCGTTCAAACGATGATGCGAATGCAAAGGAATGTCTTCTGACAGAGCTGGCCAACGCCCATGGACCAGCGCCTTGTGTCGAGGCTTTGATTGCCAGCTTTCTTCAGAAGAACATGCAAAAGGAGCTACATCATTCGAACAATCCAGCTCAGGTTCAAGAACAGGTTGACTTGTCCAAAATTGTTGAATGGTGTACTCTGAGAGATGAGAAGAGAGCAATCAAAGTAATCCCTCCATCCGAGGCGAAGCGAATTCGCGAACGAAAGCAAGATCGGATCATGACCAGTCGTTTTGTCATTGTGGAAAAACACGAAGATGGACACAGCAAAATCAAATCGCGTTAGTGCCTGAGGGTCATCATGATCCAGACCTGTTCACCAAGGTTTTGGCAGGCCAGTGCCATTCGCCGACTCTCTCACAGTTTGGTAGAAGCCTCATACTCCAGATAGTAAGCAACAAATGGACCATGCATCGACATATAAAAGGGGCTTTCTTGGAAAACGTCCGAGAGAAGGCACCGGCCGGAGTTCGTGTCGAGGGCTCCTTGGTTCAGGTCCGCAACAGGAAAATGGAGCAAATGATGCACCAGTTCGATACGAGTTCGAGTGGTATTGCGAGTTCGAGAAGGCACTTGCAGGATTTGTGAGAAGCAAGTTCGACAGTTGTCTTTATCTGTGTTTCAATCCTGAAGGTTCTCTTGAAGGGATTTTGGGTGCGCATGTTGATGACAGTATCACGGGTGGTTCGGGTCCATGTTACCAAGCCGCAGTGGACAAGCTGAGAACTCGTTTTCCTTTTCGGAAATGGCGGTCAGGGACAGGTGAGTTTCTAGGAACCATCTATGAGCAACATCCGGAAACCAAAGAAAATTCTTTTGGGCAGAAAGAATATGCGGAACACATTCGACCCATCAAGATTGACAAGGAGCGAGCCAAGCGACCCTGGCTTCCGGCCAGTCCTCAAGAGATCTCAGCGTTGAGGGCAGTGAATGGAGCATTGAGTTGGTTGAGTACACAGACACGTCCGGAGCTGTCAGTTCAGACATCTCAAAGCCAGCAGTGCTTTCCTCAGCCAACCGTTTTTGACTTGCTCCAGGCAAATCAGGCGGTGAGACGTGCTCGACAACAGGCAGACCTTCGGATCACTGTACCATACATCCCTTCAAGAGTTGACAGTGTTTCTGGTAACCCAAGGTGGGTGGATTGCCTTTCACTTCAGACCGAGACAAGGGGCAGATGTTCCGGTTCATTTTCGCCTGGAAGAGCTATCGTCTTCCGGTTGTCGCATCCGGAGAGGCTCAAGTTTTCTGCGTGAGTGAGATCTAGCAGAATGTTTGGATGGTCGGACCGGTCGGATGGTTCTGGCGTTCGCCAATAGGCGACCTGACCTGACGTTCGTTCGCTTTTGACCACCGGAGGGGTGCTGACAAACGGACAGCAATCGCCGGAACCGGACACCAACCACACACATGGCAAATGGGTTAACCGACAAAGTAGAGCCGACCTTCTCTGATCCGTGTTGCGGACAGCTCGCTACCAGCAAACGAGCAGACCGTACTAGATCGTAAGAAAGAAGAGCGTGAACGCAGAAAGCAAGTAGCATCTAAGCCGTCAGAAGCACAAGAGGGCCAATCGGGCCAAACGAATTAGTTTTGATAGTTGTTTAAGAACAATCTCAACAGTGAAGCATTGAATCCGGCTTGCACTCGTTTTTCTTGTGCAGTGATTTCTGTGAAAAGGGGTTGCAGAGTCAATAGAACACAAGATGGGAGAAATATGGAGAAATGCTCTTTTTCTTTTGTGATGCTTGTTTGAGGTTGAGTCGAAGCTCGTCGTCGTGACAGTCACGTGTCGTGCTAGTGATTGCATGTTTTTGTTTGAGTGTGCAAATGCACAGAACCTTCATGGAGCCAGTGATCAGAATCGCAAATTTCCGTGGGCAGAGTTTTCATTTCGCATCTCAAGCCTTCTCGCGCAGAAACATTCGTGTGAGTACAGCTTTGTAGAACAATGGCACCAAAGCAGATGCCAGTGACTCCAGCGGAGCTGATCGCGGCAGAGGCAATTCTCGCCAGGGCCAAGGCAGCCGGCATCCAAGCCGGGAGAATCAGAAGACTGCATCTCAGCTGCCGATCCAACCCATGTCGCAAGGAAAGAGCAAGGTTGTTGATCTTCCACCAGGCGTGTCATGCATTCCAGACTGGGTACGACAGTATGCAAGTTGCCAAAAGTTCAAGCTCTCAAGATGAGCTATTCAGAGTTGGTTGCCGACAAGAGCCATCACAAGTACCTCACATGGGTGCAGAGTGGCAAAGGCCGTGGGGGCCGTTTCGCTCAAGCCGCTCAGATCCACTCATCTCCCAAAGAGCGAGAAGCGTGAGAAGAGAAGTCGAGATCAGATGGCCAATTCCCTTGTTCGAGCAGTTCGAAAGTATGTGTTAAAGCAGTGCCACATATGCGGTTCCATGGCACCTTTCGGTCCGAGGATGGGCAAAAGGGAAGCGGCCGCGGGGCGGAGGGCAGGAGCCTTCGTTGTTTAGGGGAAACCCCCTTGGTTTGCAAATATATATATATATAGATCGCGCTTCAAAGAACAAAGTTAGGAGTCTAGAGTTGGGAAGCATCGACCAGGACATTGTGATTTGTCAGGAAAACAATCAGGTGAAGGACCGAGTACGAAGATGGCATGTAGAACTGAGAAACTGGATCCAGGGGACGGCAAAATGGGGGAAGATAGATGTTGTCATTGCCGTGGACGATAATTGACATTGCTTGACAGTAAAGGAATTCAAACAAGACATATAGTATAACAAGACATTGCTTGGCGCAGCGGAAACGGCTTGGAAGGCTTTAATGTCAATTTGGCAAACCTGATTGAATGGCCTGCTTGCACTTCGTGCAGTGGTTCACTCTACTATGACATCACCGACACCTTAATGCCCTACACTACAACAAAACCTTCTCAGAGACACAATGATGGTGTTTCTATATGTTGTTGATCAGCAACTGGCTTGGACTAGCTTCTTTTTTTCTGGGGGGTGATCTCAAGATGGACCTTTGCAAAAGGCAGCTAAACATGGTCTTGTGAGAGACTACATGATGATGCGGCGTGTGGTGGTCAAAGGCCAGCAAACTTTGCAAGGTGCACTTAGCAGTTTAACCCGTTCAGAACTCCCCACCCCAAGCAATCTGACCCAACCGCCCGTGTATGCGAAGCCCATCTTGGACGAAACGAGCAACAATATGCAAGTGCTATGCCAGTGCTGCTCATCTTTCCACTTGGCCAGACGGCATTATTGAGCCTCAAGCTGGCAAGAAAACAACTGGTGACCCATTGAACAAGTAACTAAGTATGAAGACTGTTGGAACATCTAACATCTGCCCCTCCTCTGTCGCCTTAACTCGAAACTTGGGGAACTGTCTTCCGGCCTGGGTGAAGGAACTTGAACCGAACGACTCGAAGGTTCGGCCGACGTCCGGTGAAGCATCTGAGGCACCTGGCATCCCAACCTGGGAGAGATCTTTCGATTTGGGACCCTGTGGGACCCGGACATTCGTCATTTGCTGTCTAAATCTTTGTTTCGTATGAACGACACAAACACATGCCGTCATTCGTGCCTTCTCTCCGTGCACCCTCGTAGTACTCTCTCACGTACATATACCGGCCTGGCGACTTGGCTGCAATGCAAATGATGAAATGTCCATGTGACATCTGCCTTGTAGCATCGTGTCGTGCAAGTACTGTACAGCCTAAAACGGAAAATGCACAAGTGCATGAGCTGGCCAAAGCGGTTGCAGTTCGCGGAACAATGAAACTATGACAATTGCCCACCCAGTCCATCATTTAACAGCAATCACAAGCCACATCTCCACAGCTGGGCCACCCGTTTGGCTGCACCAAAGGTCGCAAACTCCACGACTGCACAGCCCTGAACTTGCACCAAACGGACGCAAACTGTCTTCATCAAGAACATAACATAGCTGTCTTTATGCAATCCTGAAACAAACAGTGTTTTTCGTCGAAATATTTGGCTTTTGTGACGCCCAAGACTCCAATCTCCTCACCTCGCCTTGGAGCGGCCGTGTGGCTCGGCGTTCTCGGTGAAGAGCTCGACGTGTTGCACCTCACCCACTTGTCGCATCTCGTCCTGCGAACGGAGAGAACTCCACACCGAGGGAGAGTGCTCTTCTCTCGTTTCTTCACCGCCTTCAACTGCTGCCATGTCACAGAGTACGGCCTCGAGCGAGGCGTTGCATTTCGCTTTATATATACTCAAACTCTCTTTATGCCTTCTTTGGATTTTCTCCAGGTCTTTCTCTTCCTCCATGTTTCTTTCTTTTTTAAAGTCAAATTGGACATTGGTTTCTAGCCAGGTTTCAAGCAAATTTCCAACGAAGACCTTTGTGTAGGGTCCTGGTCGGACTTGATTCGCATAGCTTCATGTAGACCCAACCGACACTCCTTGCTCGTTATAACCATAGCCGCCGTAGCTGGATGCGCCTCACTTGTGGTAAAAAATAATTGTTTTGTGTTGTTTTTTTTTTCATTGTGCCTGCGTGGTGCACTAAGACAACGACCTCTCGAAGCCTTGGTGGCGCAAGTGACTCTCCTTACGCGCCACAGCAAAGTCGTAATCAAACGCATAGAAATGGTAGTGGTCGCTGGTAGCCTGTCTTTAATGTATCACGGTGTCTTACTGGTTGCACACGGTTGCACGTCAGCATCCCAATCCGAATGCGGAAACTGTTCGTTCTTTCACGTCCACTGACAGTTCAATCGCTGGCAATCCGGGCAGCACTTGACTTGTTGTCCCTCAAAGTGTAACAAAAGCGGTGCCAAGAGTTAAGAAAAAAAACAGCAGAATGTTTGGCAAAGGGTTCTCGTTTAACGGTCTGCGAGTGGACTCGTCTGCGACTCGTTGTCGTAGCGACCGCAGCCGTCCGCAGCCGTCCGCAACCGTCCGGTCAGCCGCAGACAGCGGTTGGTCGCTATGACGCTGACATTGGGCGAAGCTCTTGGAGGAGGTTATGGATGGAGGCAGGAGTCAGAATGCAGCGGGTCGAAGTGTGGAGGATGCTTTGTCTGTGCAGGTGCAGCGTTCTGTGCGATCCTCAATTTTCTTCGCTGTGAGGGTTGGCTTTGAGGGGTGGTGCTTTTGAGGTGGTGGATGTGGCTGTGAGACATGGAGATGTGCGTTTGAGGCTGTTACATAGCTATATATGGCGACTATGGTGGATGGGACTGTGCTTAGAACGTGTCGAAATCATTCCAAACAAGTGGTGTGGTGCAACTATTGCGGAAAACATGAGGATGTCAAGTCGTCACTTTTCATGGCAGGCGTTGTACTTTGTAAATGTTGGAGGCATTACAGTTCTGCAGACTGGGCGTGAGTTTTGGGGAGCTGTGGCCTCAGAACTAGCAAACTTTGTAGCGCAAATATAGTGCGGAGTGTGGCCAAATTACGTCGGTGATGTCGCTGCGCTGCGCGGCTTTGCGCGGCCTGGGGAGTCCGTGGTCCGTGCCAATTGGAAAGCATGCTGGTGTAAACGCGACGCATCGCCGGATAGTTGTATCGTCTGTGGCGCACCGTGGCGACGTGACGTGTGTAATGCGACTCTGCACGGCCTCGGTGGAAAGTCCGTGCCCTTTGGAGAAGGAAAGCGTGCTGGCATTGTTGTATCTGTGGCGCACCAGAGTCGCGCGAGCGAATCCCACAAGTAAGAGTTTTCGACAAGAGTGAGTGTCCCACAAGACTCTCGAACAAGAGTGTCCTACAAAAAACTCCACAAGAGTGTCCCATAAGACATAAGAGTAGAGTGGCTCGCCAGAGTGCCCCACAAGACAAATCCCACAAGAGCGCCGCCTTGCAAGAATTTTCCGCAAGAGTGTCTTACAAGAGCCCCCCAAAGTGTCCAACAAGAGTGTCAAGCGAGGGTCTACCACAAGAGCACAAGAGTGTCCCACAAGAATGTTCTACAGCAGTGTCTCCTGCAAGAGCGTTTACCACAAGAGTATCTTACAAAAGTGTCCTGCAAGAGCGCCACGCAAGAGTGTCGCGAAGCACCCCACAAGAGTTTCCCACAAGAGTGTCCTGCAAGGGTGTGCCACAAGAGCCTCGCATACAAGAGTGTCCTACAAGAGTGACCCACGAGAGTGTCGCGCGAGAGTGCCTCACAAGAATGTCAAGCATTATTTGGACATTGTTTTCCAGTGCGTGTCTGCACTCGGGTTCATGGGTTGCATCTTGTCTTTTAAGAAGAAACTCCAAAAGACCATAATTTTCAACTTGCCCAGAGCCAGTGTGGTGACTTGTGGATCAAGATCTGGAATCCCTGAGGTTTGTGCTCGCGATCTTCTCGCACAAAAATCTCTCGTCCTGTGAACGGCCCAACAACAACCAAACGCAACAAGAAAACAACCCAAAAACAGAACGAACACAACAAAATCAGTTTCTGTCGCAGTTTCTCTGTTTCCTTCCCTTTCCGTCCTAAGAGATCAGTGCCTGTGAGCTGTTCCACGGCAGCCTGTGCCTCAGCGTTTGCATCATGAACCAGGAATCGGGTCAAGGTCCCCTTGAATCGTCGGCCGTCTTCGCATTTTCTGAAAACAAATTTCCACAAACAGTTTTCTCCAGCTCCCTGATTCTTTGTTCTGTAGCGATATGCCTCCTCAGGGCTGGCGAACTCCACAATGCCGTAACCTGCGCCACGCAGCTCTGGTCGGTGGGCTTGTCGTGCAATTTGCGTTTTGGCTTTCTTGAGGCTTTCGCCTTTAGGATTGCCATCAAGATCCCCGGCGACATCTGCTCTCCTCACCTGCGAATAGATCGAGGGCTCAAAGGGTCGAAGCGGCTCGATCCTTTTCATGGCCTCCCCGACAGCCCGACAATGGTCTTTGAGATCCTTCGCTGAAGAACAACTCAGCTTGTTACAAATAACTTGTTCTACAAATGGCACATGGAGAGACCACGCATAGCCGTTAACAAACCAAGACTCTCTCCACGTAGCTTGCCAAGATAGGTTGCCAACATAGACCCGACACTCCTCCAAACAGCTCAGCTTGAACGCGCTCTCAGGCCAAAACTGCGACGGGATGTTTGGCATCCGATCTCGTCCAGTCCTTTGATGGAGTGGATTGATCCACGCGATCCTGGAAGACACAAATTACCATTTGTTCGCTATACCGCCTGGTCTATCCATTGCACGCGGTACATGTTACACGCTGCGCAGCTTGCCCGCTCTGCCTCGCGAACGATGATCTTCCTTCCTCCGAGGTCTGTGTCATGGAGCTCCATCACCTCAGCTGAACTGCGGTCAAAAACCATGCGCGTCTTCTCCAATCTGGTTTGGCAAGCTTGTGAAATAACTTTGTCAAATAATGCGAGGCATTCAATGTTTGTTGATGCTAGTTGGAAACTGTTCTCAAGTCATGTACCCAGACCCTGTTTTTTTGTGGATAGTTTCCGTGTAAGGCTTTGCGAGATTTGCGATTAAGCCTGGGCGTGTGGGAGAGATTCAATTTGTTAAAGTTAGGGACTGTGAAGTTAGAGCCGAGGAAACCCAAATCATTGGGGTCAGGCTATTCCTAATTGCGCAAATTGCGCATTAGAGTTTGACAAAGGCAGGGCTCAGGACGCTCAGCAAAATCAAGGCTGCTCATACTACTGCTACTACTACTACTACCACCACCACTACCACCACCACTACCACTACCACTACCACTACTACTACTACCACCACTACTACCACCACTGCCACTGCCACTGCCACTACTACTACTACTACTACTACTAATAATGCTAATTCTAATACTAATACTAATACTAATACTAGTACTACTACCACCACCACCACTACCAGTACTCCCACCACTACTACCACCACCACTACTACCACTAGTACTACCACCATTACTACTACTACTACTACGACGACGACGACTACTACTACTACTACTACTACGACTACGACTACAACTACTACCGCTACTACTACTACTACCACTACTACTTACTAGTACTAGTAGTAGTACCAGTAGTACTAGTGCACTAGTACTAGCACTACAACTACCACTACTACTACTACTACCACTACTACTACTACTACTACCACTACTACCACTGCTACTGCTACCACTACTACGACTACTACGACTACGACTACTACTACTACTACTACTACCACTTCTACTCCTACTTCCACTTCTACTTCTACTACGACCACCCGACCACCACCGCCACCACCACCATCACCACTGTCATGTGAAAGGTGTTAAAGAAGTCTGTTTCTTTTGTTGAGATTGAGTCTATGTCTCTTAGCCCCCAAATATGTCCAAATCTCTTTACCAAGAGAAGCTGCAGTTGCAGCTTGGCGTCAAGGCCTTCCTGGTAGTGCGATGTGAATTCGGTAGCGCGGACAATATGTCGGTCGGACTGCGCAGCTGACTGGTGTTGGTGGGGCCTTTATGGTGTATGCCGCAAGGCTGTGTCCAGGCGTTCGTGAAATCAGCCGCGCCAGCCTGCCTTGTCGCCGTTCACGATGTTATACAAAGGCATCGTGGGATGGATAATCTGACGCTGGTGGAGTCTGATCCGGTATTTCTTTCCGGCGCTTCTTCCTCAAGGGTGGCAGGACGTTGAGGTTTCTCGTTGTTGTGAGTCGGCGTTGAATTTGCCGGAGGTCCTGGACAAAGAGCCGCGCCTGGCCCCCCCCAGAAGCATGTTCGTTAGGCGCATTTCACGAACCAGCTTATAGTTCTGTTGGCATGAGTTCTGCCAAAGAGCGCGACAAATCAGTATTGGTACCACCTGATTGCCAGTGACGTCCGCTGCAGGGTCCGACGTGGACTGCTATGCCCCACACCAGGCATCCTATATTGGATTCCAATAAACTTGCCGTTTCACGAATGGCTTAAGCCCCGCCTCCCGGGAGCATACTACGTACCTCGATTTGAGTCATCCCGTCAGTCTCCTATTGTGTTTTGCCGCTGCAGCAGCCATTGACGCTACTCCGTGCAACTTTGTTGGTACCACCAACTCTTTGGAGGCTGCGGGTCTTGCGGAATCGAAAGCAAATTTAACGCGGGAGAATTGAAAAAAGCTGGCTATCTAGAAACAGGCAAAAGCCAGTCCACCAAGCTGCTATAGTGCGGCGACGCGCAGAAATGTTCGTTTATAAAAAGGATGCGTAGACCTCTTCCGCCGCATCTTCACGAAAGAAACTTTTAGCCGGGATGAGCTTCATTGCAGCATGGTCTCACCCATTCAGCTACAAATGCCTTATGCTTATCGAGGGTTCCGAATGGTGGATGCATGTCTACTGATTCAAGCGCGCTGGTGTCAAAAAATTAACAAGCTGGCCCGTGGCTTGGCACTATGTTTCGTCAGCCTGTCTGCTAAACAGCCTTCGCTGGTGACATGGCTTAAGCCCTGGAGTTGACCCCTGTTATGTGCCGCAGCGTCTGAGGCGATGTGTTTCTTTTGCTCTCGCAAATGTGTGGTTTGCACGCTTGTGTCGAGGTCATTTGCATCAGAGCGGATGTGAATAGGTAATGCGTTGCCGCTACAATCGGCGCAGAGGTTCAGCGGCCTGCGTAACCCGCCGAAGGCCCTTGCCTTTGTTTCCGCGCGATAGGACGATTTTTAGCGAGCCCTGCAGGCATCGACATACTGGCACTTCAGCCATCTCACAGCGTTGCTGAGTTCTTTGCAATCACCGATAGTTGGCTTAGCGGCACGTGACGCACAGCGTGAGAACTTGTAGCAAAAATGAACTTAAGTTCTGCGACGAAGCCAGATAATAAGCTGACCAAGAATGCTACGTAGGCCGTATTCATCTTCGGATCGCGCGCGAGGTCCCTTGCTGTGTTCTTCTATTATTGTAGTTGTCTCCTCGCCTGCATCTACCGCTAGCTTGTGGTCAACGCCGTATCTGATGTTTGCAAGGACTCTCAAAGTGCTCGTCTCCTGCCATGTGCAAGTCATCAAGCCGAGACAAACAAAGCCACGCACCTTGACATGTGCAAGTCATCAAGACGCAGACGGACAAGTCAAAAACGTGCAACCCCTACCACCAACCGTAAACAGAGTTGCAATTTTCCAGCAGTGGTCGCAAGGGTCGCTGCTCTGTTACGCGCCCTTACAGCCAAGACAATGCGCCTAGAAGGGTTCAAGAATACGCCTGCTCTATACAAGGCGCTGTGCCACCTCGCCTTTCAGGGTGGGAAGGGCGGGCGCAGGAGAATTCTTGAGCCAAGATGGCACGCAGAGTGCCCATTACCGCGCTCGCAACTTGTCCAGCCAATGCTTCGACAAGACGTGCGCCCACCGTAAACAAAGTTTAGTCTTTCCAGCAGTGGTTGTAAGGATCCCTGCTCTGTTAGCTCTGTTACGCGCTACCCAGAGCAGCAACGAGACAATGTGCCCTAACGCCAATTCCTAACCCACTTGCGGTGTTAACGCGCGTGCTGGAGAGTTGAAACAATAGAACCAGATTCGGAACTAGGTGGGCGGTTGCGGGAAAGCAACGCTTGCATTTAGCTGTGTCTACAGGTGCAGTGCTACCCTCACCCAAGATTTTGTAGTCAGTATGGTGAAGGCTGAAAGGCCAACCACACCTGGTGCGTGACGTGCGGATAAGTGTGTCAGTGTGTAGACTGTACAGTAGGATTGTATTGCGATCGGCTGCAGTGCAAATGGGAGCCCTGCTTCGCAGTCTTGGGCTCAGGGGGCATAAATGGCGTCGCGGCGCCCTGAATTTGGTTCTGTATCGAGGTCACTTGGTCTTTGTTTGGCGCGTTGCGCAGACATTGCAGCCGTCAACTCTAAGGCTAATTTATCACGCTGCGCCAAAGGGGCGTCCTTGATGTAATGCGGAAAGACGTCAGAAACTATTGGACGCGCAGAAAATCAATGCGGCGCGTGGCCATGTAGCGTGAACCAGACACTCGAGCTGTGTGGCCGGTGAAGGCTCTTCTTACCCCATTGGGATGGAGCATCGGCGTCCCCAATAATTTTGCGATTGCTTCAAACGTGTCTGTCCACCCTACCTTGGTCGCGCTTGCACCGTTATGTGAACCATGATATGAACGGTGCACTTTAAATCTGGGCAACGCACTGTCTGGTCTGCGACTTGAAAAATACAGAGGAGGGTGTCCGTTGTTGATCCTCAGACTCTGCAATGCCCCATGGGCAGGCATCGGCCACAACTTAATGGAGCTGGATCCCCACCCAGCGCCGCAATCCACTTTAAAGCAGGCTTGATCCTTCAAGTTTGCACCAACTGTCCAGAATGCGTGGCTTTGCTGGCTCCGTCGCTCGTTGAGCTACAGTCTCCTAGGGTCGCCCAAATAGTGGAGAGGAATGGCCGGAGGTGTGGGACCAGTCCGGCAATCCTTCAAGGTCACCCGAGTGGACGAAGGCCGGATCATCAACGTAGATTTGAACTCCTGTATTTGGTATACGGTATAGGACGGCTCGTCCCAGCCACGCAGCATAGCGACCAGATGGTGGGCGAGCTGCCCGCCCCACACACCAAACGATCACCCGGTCAGTCTTTCTTTGGCCTGGCGGACACTGTGTAGCGCTTGTCCCTGCCCGCCGAATGTCCTTGATATCCACTGCCAGCTACGGGCTTTGCCTTCTTCTGTAGGCGTTGATGCCTGCCTGCGGAGTATCCTCTCCCTTTGGTCGCATGATCTGAGCCTTCCGAGTCTGAGCAGGGTTCGTCTTGACGATCAACCTGAACATGGATCGGTGTCTTTAGCCTGGCTGCAACTGAGCGCTTCACCTTCACTCGAAGCCCGGCGCAACCCCTGCCGGGAAAGGCGACGCCTCTCGATCAGGTTTTCGTTGCAATCGGCCTTGTTGTATTCTATATTGACCATAAGACAGCCAGACCCTGTTGGTGCTATGGGGTCAAACATGCATTATCTTCCTCGCTACGTCCGGAATAGACCTCCTCAGTGTCGGATTACGCCGGGCTCGTGACTTCTGCGTAAGCCGGTCATGCGGTCTATAGCGTGCGTGTCAGCAATTTTGCGCTCATGACTTGCGCCCTTAACGTGGTTCAACCCGCATCTACAGGCGCGCGGCGCTGTGAATGAAGCAGTATTCGAACACAGCGTGCATTCAGCTGAGTTCCCAAGACCGTTGTCAATCGTGTCTGCATCTGTCTCATCTTCTTCTTCTTCCTTGATTCTTCTCCCCTGTTTCTTCTTTGGCAAAGTGGGATCGCCATGCAGGAACTGTCTCAGTTACAACAAAGAAGATGACGACGAAACCTGCGAATCGCGTGAAGCATCGCGCTCAGATGGACGCCGCTGGCATCTGCCAAGCAGGAGGAGGTTTTGAGGCAAACTCAGAGTCCTGGATGGTTGGTTGAGGCGGTTGCGACGACTGGCGGTTGCGAGGAACAGGTGGCAGAACAAGTCGATGAGGCGACGCAAGGGTCTTGATGGTGGATGTGTGGAGTCTGAGGTGACTCCATCTCATACCGCTGCTAAAGATGAAGGTCCAGGTGGCATCGAGTTGCGTTATCATCCGTATGACTCATCTGTGACCATGGCGGCGCCATAAAGATGATGTCCCAAAGAACTGCTGAACAGCTCTTTAAGACGTCAAGCTTGCCCTCGGTGACTGGTCACAAACGGGGCTCCAAGAAGGGTGAAGCTTGTTCAGCGTCAGCCGTCATCAACACGCCTGAAGCATCACACACTGTCCGGAGGATGTAGTGGAATGTCAACGTCCTCTATCAGGTTAACGTCCTTTCCTATCTTGCGCGCATTAGGATGCACTGCTGGTGGCTCCTGTGCCCGCGCCACACACACACGTTGGTAAGGGCAAAGATGCAATCCCTCGACGCTCGGAGAACGTGGCATGAGTTGCAGGCATGACAAAATTGTTGAGGGCTCGCAACGGTTCAGCCACGAGCGGCAACTTGTGTTGAAACAAGACTCTTTTCGCGCATCTACTAACCTGAGTCTTGATTGCCCTTGCTGCGCGTTCTGCTCCTGCGCAACGCCCCCCCGGCCAAATTGGAGAACTTCCCCCTCACGCAAATTGCAGCAACACACTTGTCAGGTCGCGAACCTTGTCACGACATCGTGATCGCTCCCGAGGCGTGGCAACGCTCGACCCACTGCGTGAGAACAGACAAGGTGGACTAGCAAACATCATAGCCACAGGTTTGCTTCAGTTATTTGTCCTGCGCGCAATGGCAAACACAGACCTCATACACACGACAATAACTGCAGAAGCTAAAGCCGAACTACCGGCAAAGACCAGTACTGATACTCCAGTTCTTTCCATCCGCCAGACATTGATCAAGATGAAGCCTCGCACTATAGGAGAAGACCAAAACTTTTTGATACGCTACCAAACGGACGAAAGCCCCAGATGTAGGTTTCGGTAATAGCTGAAAGCCCAGCAGTTCCGCTCGCCCGCCCGATGTTGAGCTCAACGAGATTTGCGCAAGGCGCGGCCGGAGGAACCCGTCAAGCGCAAGATAGCGCCAGGTGAGCCCAAGTCGAAGAGTAGAAAGAACAAAGGAAAGGTCAAAACCGAGAAGGCATCAACGGAATGCTGCGCCTCCACCTGAAACACATGTCAACTAAACAGTTTAGAAGAAGAACTTCCGAATTGAAACTTGCTAAAGAACAGTCTCAGTTTGACGGTTAAACGAGCGCAAGTCAGCATTAACCTGCGCCAAGATTTAAGGCCTTTCAGGCGCGCGAAGCGAATATTTTGTTGAGCGTTGAGAATGGCAAAAAGAAATGGGTCTTTCTTCTTGTCCTCGCGAGGGTGCAACATCCTTCGCAACAGCGTATGCGCTTAACAACATGAACGCCAAGGAAACCATTGCCTTGTTTATTGCATTATGTTGATGAAGACTTCCACACCTGTACGGTTTCATGTGGACACAGGAACACAGTGGCTTATGAACGAGCAGAAGTTGCAGTTCGAACACTCAATGCCAAGACTGGAAAATGGATGCTAGTGACGCTGTTTCCATTGATACAAACCAGTTGAAGAAATTGCGCCGTGACTGCCTGATACTCATAGTTTTCCATGGGCATCCGCAGTGCGCTCATGGCTGAAACACGTTGCTCATTCAAACTGGCCTGCGCAATGAATATCAAAGCCATCAAGTTCCCTGGCAGGGGAAATGCATTCTGACGCGTACGCCTTGCAACTCCTGTCCTGGCATCCCATAGCGGGTTTGGTCTACCTGCTGCACCTAGCAGTCCTATCTCATGTCTTTCTTGAGGAATTAAAGCGTGGGTGAAATCAGATTGTGGCGGGATTCCGGATGTGGAAAGTCTCGATGGAGGCGCGTCCAAGCTGATGGTAGTCGTCTTGTGGTGATTTCGACAAGGCCTATCCGTGTGACCAGTTCATGGCTAGCCCACCATCCTCTGAAGAACTGAAGAAACTTGCACTGTTTGGTGAAAAATGGGCGATGATCTGGATCTGCGAGCAAACGCTTCTCTAGCACGCCTTTGACTTGAAGCGTGCCGCTAAGCTGTTGATCCAGGTCCATGTTTTTCAGCGGTCAGGGTCGTCAGGTTCTACCAATCATCGATACGACCTCCGTTCTCGAACCAAGATGTCAATCCGTCAAGTTTTTGCGCAATCTTGGGAGTCGCTCGAAGTGCAGACGTCTCAGGAAGCTGTGCAGCGCACGCATTTGCTTGGGGCTGATAGCAGCCACCTTCGGAAAAATAATCTGTTTCGTATCCTGGTTGGGTTGGTTCGCTATCGCTCGTTGTGCGCTGACTGTAGCTGCTCTGGAGCAACGCGAGCTCCGACTTAGTGGGCCCAATCCCCTCGCAGTGGGTGCACTGGTCTAGTATCCTGGATCGAAGGCTTACAGTGCAACTGGTCTCACAAGAGCGAGTGGAACGAAGTGCAACGAGCGGGCCTTTTACACACGCATGCACCTTGAGGCAAAAAATATTGGCATGTATATGGTGTGAAAGCACTGCGGAAGAGCATAGTGTGTAACAAGGTTCAGCCAACCAACACGGAAAGGGGGCCCGGCCCAAAACAAAAACAACACTTCCACCCACACACAACTAATACTCAATTCGTTCGCTGTACTTTTGCGACCCATCTTTGTTTGAAGGTTCTTCTTTGTGAAGATGTTACTCGCTGAACCAACTCCTTCGCAGTCACAACATGCTATGCACTTCGTGGCCGTCCAACCCAGGTAAAAATACATTTCTGACATAACACATCTGCAGCTACACACCTACTTCCTGCGATGGCAGCTCCTTCTTTTGAACAGCCCTCTCTCTCTATAAACAGGACCTGTTTACTCAACAGGCGCCCGCTCCCTGGTGTAAACTCTTCCTTCATGGACCTTCTACCCTAGTCCAAAACCTATTTCTTTCAAAGAAGAACTTTTCTCTAATGAGCTAGTGCCATTGGTCATCAACATCATGTCCTTTCCCAAGTCTCTTGCCTAGGTCTCAGATAGGTCTTTGAATGTTTGCGCGGGCTTGAAGATACATAAAAATATACATATGCAACTACGTATACATATAGTCATATAGTGTATATTTATACCTCTTTTTGCGGAATGTTGAATCTTATGAACATCCTTGAAGATCAACGTGTGGTCCGAGTGGCTGCTCGTTGTGCGTCCTCTGGAGATCTAAAGGAAACCAAAGCACAGCCACGAGAGCGTCCGGCCTTGGAGCTCGCTTTCTTTCGCAAGCTTTCAGCGTCTGATTTTTTGTGTCCCGTGTCTTCGGCATCTTCTCCAAGCGTGAGAGTTCAACTAATTGGTGTTTTTTGCTGTAAGATTTACTGCTGCTGAATTCAACCCTTCTGTCACGCATAAACATACCAAATTCTTAGGAAAGGCCTCGGTGAAAAGATCAGCGTAGACCACGTCCCCGACGGTTTTCATGTGATCCTGGCGATCCCCAAGCCCGAAATCCGACTTACACCTGGACTGATAAGAGCACAAGTTCTGAACCCCAATGAGAATTCCGCGAGACCTGAAAATGATCGAGTAGGCGAAAAAGCTGACCAAGCACAAGGCCCTCAGGGCTCCTTCAACTCCTGCCATGCAATGTTCCAGGGCAAATTGCTCACATAGACCCGGTTCTCCACCTGGGCACAAAACACATTCAGTTTTCACGAACGCATAGCGAAGGGTTCCCGTTTAACTCTGGGGGTCTGGGGGTAGAGCCTTGTTCGCGACCCGTCTGTGGAAGCGTCAGACGTTGAAGTTTGGAGGATGATTTCACTGCGGAGGTGCAGCGTTTTGTGAGGTCCGTAGTTTTCTACGCAGTTCCATTGGGGTTAGTGTTTGGAAAGAGAGATTTTTGGGGGTGTTGATGGCCGCGCCATTGGGGTTTGCGCTTCAGGGTGTTGCATCGAAGCTCTGTTTTCGTGACACGTCTCTGCTGAAATGGCGATTTGGGCACTCATGGACGTCATATTGTCCAACCATTGCCGGCGGATCAGCGGATCAGCGGACCAGCAGATCAGCTGATCAGCGGACCGGTGGATCAGCCGATTAGTGGACCAGTGGATCAGCGGATCACCGGATCAGCGGACCATGGAGCAGCGGATCAGCGGACCAGTGGATCAGCGGATCAGCGCACCAGTGGATCAGCGGATCAGCAGATCAGCGGACCAGTGGATCAGCGGATCAGCGGACCAGAGGATCAGCGGATCAGCGGATCAGCGGACCACCGGATCAGCGGACCACCGGACAGGGGATCAGCAGATCAGCGCGCCAGCGGATCAGCGGATCAGCGGACCAGCGCATCAGCGGACCAGCAGATCAGCGGACCAGTGGATCAGCGGATCAGCGGGCCAGAGGATCAGCGGATCAGCAGACCAGCGGATCCAGTTGAATCAGCGGATCAGCGGACCAGTGGATCAGCGGATCAGCGGACCAGTGGATCAGCGAATCAGCGGACCAGCGGACCAGCGGATCAGCGGACCGGTGGATCCAGTGGATCAGCGGACCAGTGGATCAGCGGACCAGCGGATCACGCGGATCAGCGGACCAGCGGATCAGACAACCCAGTGACCATAAGTCGATTTCATTGGGTGGATGGGAGTGTGCTCAGAACGGGTCGAAATCATTCCAAACGTGTGGTGTGGTGCAAATTTTGTTGAAGCTCGCATGACGTGATATTGTCACTTTTCGTGGCAGGCACAGTACTTTGTGCGGGTTTTGAGGTGCGGACGCGCGAGTTTCGTGGCAGGCGCAGGGAATGGTGAGGTTGCGAGGTGTGACGGAGGTGACATTTCGTGACAGGCGCAGTACTTTATCCGCGTTAGACGCGGAAAGACTCGTGGCAGGCGCAGGGAATTGTCAGGTTGTGAGCTGTGGTAGAGGTGAATGTCGCTGTGACATTGGGATTGCGCGTGAGCGGGTGTTGTTTGGAGGGGCTGGAATCGCGAAACTGCTTGGCAGGGCTGCGTGATGTGTGTGCTCCGATGGGTGTTTCCACTTGACTTTTGGAGGGCTTGACGCGTGACTTTTGGAGGAAGTCTCGTACGAAATGCTCGTCTTGCAGACTCGAAGCGTGATTTTTTGGAGGAAGTCTAGTGCGAAGCGCTTGTGTTGTGTGGGCAGACCGTGTGGCAAAATTACGTTCGTGATGTCGCAGTGCCATTGGGATTTGCGCGGCCTTGGTGGGAAGTGTGTTTGCATGGCGCCGTGCCGCTGGGGAGTGCGAGACATGCTGGTGTAAACGCGGCGTGTCGCTGGTGGGCGGGATGATTGGCGCCCAAAAGAGTGCCCCGCAAGAGCTTCCTACAAGAGTGACCCACAAGAGTGTCCTGCACGAGTGTCCCAGATAGAGTGTCGCACAAGAGTGTCCCAGATAGAGTGTCCCACAAGAGTGTCCCGTATGAGTGTCCCACAAGAGTGTCCCGCAACAGTGCCCCAGAAGAGTGTCCCAAGAGTGTCCTGTAATGTCAACACAGGATTAAGTAACCACCCCCCATTAATCAATCCCAGCTCCACCCCTCCAATACTAAACTAATTGAAAACTTAGATTTCCACCCTGGCAATCCTTGGCATCACCCGAATATTTTCCCGAATGCGTAGCGAAGGGTTCTCGTTTAACTCTTGGGGGTCTGGGGGTAGAGCCTTGTTCGCGACCCGTTGTTTCTAAGTTCGCATCCGTCCGCAACCGTTCGCAACCGTCCGCAACCGTCCGCAACCGTTCGCAGTAGAGCGCTAAGGCGCTGCCATTGGGGGAAGCTTTTTCAAGTGACTTTTCATGGATGTGTCACGTGTCAGTTTGCGCCGCTATTCCATTGTGATTTGCATGAAAATGACACGCCGCGCAAGAAACCAAATGCGTTTCGCTGCACAGGCGCAGCGTTTTGTGAGATCTGCAGATTGCTGCGCAGTTCCATTGGGATTAGCGTTTGGAGAGTCGTGTTTTTGGGGTGTTGGATGTGGCTGTGCCATTGGGATTTGCGTTTCAGGGTGTGGCATCGAAGCTCTGTTTTCGTGACAAGTCTCAGCTGAAATGGCGATTTTGGTGGATGGGAGTGTGCTCAGAACGGGTCGAAATCATTCCAAACGTGTGGTGTGGCGCAAATTTTGTTGAAGCTCACATGAGACGATATTCTCACTTTTCGTGGCAGGCGCAGTACTTTGTGCGGCTTTTTTGAGGTGTGGAAGTGCGATTCTCGTGGCAGGCGCAGGGAATCGTGAGGTTGCGAGGCGTGACGGAGGTGACATTTCGTGGCAGGCGCAGTACTTTGTGTGCGTTAGACGTGTGGACGCGGAAAGATTCGTGGCAGGCGCAGGGAATCGGGAGGTTGTGAGTTGTGGTAGAGGTGAATGTCGCTGTCGCATTGGGATTGGCGTGTGAGCGGGTGTCATTTGGAGGGCTGGAATCGCGAAACTGCTTGGCAGGGCTGCGTGATGTGTGTGCTCCGATGGGTGTTTCCGCTGGACTTTTGGAGGAAGTCTCGTGCGAAACGTTCGTTTTGCAGACTTTGACATGTGAGTTTTTGAGCAAGTCTCGTACAGAACGCTCGTTTTGGGGACTTGACATGTGACTTTTGGAGGAAGTCTCGTACGAAACGCTCGTTTTGGAGACTTGACGTGTGACTTTTGGAGGAAGTCTCGTACGAAACGCTCGTTTTTGAGACTTGACGCGTGACTTTTGGAGGAAGTCTCGTACGAAAAGCTCGTCTAGCAGAGTGTCCCACAAGAGTGTCCTGCAAGAGTGTCCCACACGAGTATCCCACAAGAGTTTCCTACAAGAGCGTCCGACAAGAGTGTCCCACAAGAGTGCCCTACAAGAGTGTCCCACAAGAGTGTCCTACAAGAGTGTCCCACAAGAGTTTCCTACAAGAGCGTCCGACAAGAGTGTCCCACAAGAGTGCCCTACAAGAGTGTCCCACAAGAGTGTCCTACAAGAGTGTCCCACAAGAGTGTCCCACAAGAGTGTCCCACAAGAGTGTCCCACAAGAGTGTCCCACAAGAGTGTCC